TCCATATCATTGAGTAAACTTTGACAACCCCCCCAACCCGCCGCTCGGGGTGGGGGTTGTCAAAGTTTACTCAATGATATGGGGGGGGGACCTACTGTCCTCCCCCCGGCCCCCACCCCTGAGCGGTGGGTGGGGGCCCTAAAAAAAAATAGGGGGAACTTCTGTCCCCCCCACGGCCCCCACCCCTGAGTGGTGGGTGGGGGCCCTAAATACTAAGAAGGGGGGGACCTAAGGTCCTCCCCCCTGGCCCCCACCCCTGAGCGGCGGGTGGGGGCCTTAAATACTAAAAAGGGGGGGACCTAATGTCCTCCCCCCGGCCCCCACCCCTGAGCGGCGGGTGGGGGCCCTAAAAAAAATGTCCCCCCCAGGTGTTTGTTTTTTACAGTGAGCAGCCACTGGCTGCTCACTGCTTACTAGACATGCCCCTACTCGCTGCATAGCGAGTAGGGGCAGAATTTACTAATACTAAGTAATCTTTACTTAGTATTAGTAAATGTGGCTGAAAGACCAATTTAGGTCTTTCAGCCTTTTAGTAGATAGCTCTCTAACACCGTGGGAATTAGGGAGTTATCTACTAAGCAGCTACAAGATGCAGCCGCGGATCGGAGTTTGCATGTCACAGTCCAGGTGTTAGTCCCCTTGAAACAACTTTTCCATCACTATTGTGGCCAGAAAGAGTCCCTGTGTGTTTTAAAATTCGCCTGCCTATTGAAGTCTATGGCGGTTCGCCCGGTTCGCGGGTTCGCAAACATTTGCTGAAATTCGCGTTCGCCATTCGCGAACCGAAAATTTCATGTTCGCGACATCACTGTTTATTAATACAGATTTGTGTGCATCTATCCTTTTGCATAAATATATGTTTAAAGCTGTGTTTTTCAACGGTAAGTAAAATGCATATTGTTTTATATAACTATTTGATTTTTTTCTGCAGATTAAGAGTTACATATGTATTTTATGAAAAACTGTTGTAACACAGTTGAAGATGGAGCATTTGACCTATTGACTGTGCTAAAATTTAAAACACTAGAGGAGCTATCTAGAAAGGTCAAAGTCCACACAGGAATAGTCCCAAAATTAATCATTCACAATTATTTTAACTTTGTATTTTCTTTATCTTATTTATTTATTTATCTCTTTTGAATGTGAATTAATTATTTTAGAATCAGCTGTACTTTGATGTTGTTTGCTGAATATTTAGAAGAGTTTAGTAACTGACAAAAAATTAATTTTAGATAGTTGTTTTACTTACCTTGCAAGATGTAGACATGTATTTGTCTGTATTACATTTAACATATAAAATATAAGAAAATACAATTAATCTGTTATGCTCAAAGTTAACCCAAAATGATAGATACACTGATAATGCAATCACATTCCATTAACCTTATTTAGGCTTATATATGCACACAGCACATATAGTAATGAAATCATATTTACTTTAACAAATTTGATAGGTCATATGCAGCTTTATGAATATTGTTTATTGTGACACTTAACTTACTATTAAGAGGTTTATAAATGTCAACATTCATTATGTTCTGCCATTTTTATTTGCATTCTTCTGGCATTTAACAGCTTTATCTTAATGTGCTAAACATAAACCTTTTACCTCATTAGGAAGAAATCAATGCCTTATCAGAAGACTCATTATAATCTGCTTAAGGGCCAAATTTCCTTTCATTCACAGCTACAACTCTCTAAAATGTGTTAATCTCTTTAGAACATTATACAGAAAAGATTGGCATGTCATAATAGCTATCAAGACAAAAGGGGAAAAGCTGTATGACAATTTGAGAAATGATACCGATTAGATGTATTAAAAATACAGCTAATAATACCAGATAATACCGCTCAATATGGTATATGGTATAATAGATTCAATAATGCAGTATGGCAGAGTTAATCCAGGCCCTCAAGTACCCCAACAATATTTTTTATGTTGTCATTGAAAAAACACAATAATTGCCCTCAACTGGGAGAACTTGAGCTAATGATCCAACGTAATAACTATTGGTTAAAAGAAAAATTCTTGTAAAAAACAATGACACACCATCAAAGTTTTGAGATTTCATAAACCCATAGGATTATGTTATATGATGATCTCCAACTTTGCAGCAGCAAATGTAAAGCACATCACAGAAGGCAATATAAGGCCCTTCAGAGGATTTACTGTCATCCAAAATGTACCACTTCTGAAGTGATCTCAATAAATACAAAAAACTCAGAACAGCTATGGGAATCACTCAAGAATGCATTGATACCTGGACTATTTCCTGTATCAAAAAAAAATATATGAAGTAGAGTCAGATGATCTGTTGCAGGTTTGTCTTTCAATTGAAAACATAGATTGGAACTGGTATCCTAAAGCCATTATTCATCAACACAGGAAGAGAGTTTCCAACAGACACCAGTTACTAAAAGTGGCATACACAGGTAGTCGCCTTATGAAAGTACTGTTAACTGGGTTTTATGGGACTGGGAAGCTTTATACGCAGCTTATGAAAAATATTTTTGGATCTCATATTGCACAGTGTATTTAATTTAGATATGTTTATCTCTTGCTATGTTAATTGCCTTTGTGAGCCTGCAGCAGTCTCCTATATGTTATTACACTTCGACTAGCAAAGCAGGAGTAGAAAAACCTGTGCTGTATTATCTGCTTGAAAAGTAAACTTGTTTTGTGGAATAATTTTTTGCTTAGTCTATACCCTTTAATTACAAATGTTAATTACAAATCCAGCTTAGAAAATAGCTTCAGGAATAATGTAATCCAACCCAGTTTGTATAGTCCTAGGTTCCCTTTCTGTGGATTGTGGGAAGTCTTTTGGACTATTAAATATTAGTAATTCCTTACTTTCCTGATATGGATAAGCAGTTAGATAAGATGTACCACAATGTCCAACATTATTATTATACTTGATTTATAAAGTAACCACAGGCAGGTCTCTCCTAGTATTAAATTAACACTCAGGAGGTAGCAGATAAACAATGAGAAGCTGCAATATATTGGGTGGGGGAATTGTGGGGAAAATTGTGCATTGCTTAGGAAACAGATATCCTCTGTATCCTTACAGGGACACTATAGTCACCAGAACAACTACAGCTTAATATAGTTGCTTTGGTGAGTATAGTCTGTCCCTGCAGTCTTTCTTTAAAGAGAAAAGGCAGTGTTTACATTACAGCCTAGGGACACCTCCAGTGACCACCCTCAGATGGCTATTTAGCTATAGGAAATCATTGTGATTGGCTGAGATCCTCACTTCTGATAATGTCAGCCAAGAAGGCAGTTCAGGAACAAAGCCAGCATGAGCAGACTGAAATAAAGGTAATATTTTACTGTATTTAGAGGGTAAGGGGTGCAAAGGGGCCGAGATAGTGTTTTTAACAATATAGGGTCAGGAATACATATTTGTGTTCCTGACCCTGTAGTGTTCCTTTAAATAGTTTTGTATAATGACTATGTAATAGAGCAAAGATTTCAGTTACTATGCTAGTGATACGTACAGCCGTTGTACTATTTTTCATGTAACATTTTATTGATGTAAACTTCATAAATCATGAAGTCAGGCTTAGAAAAAAAAGATCAGTATATAAAGTAGGAGATAATAGTGCATAAAGCGATAAAATATGTTTTTGCAAATATTTTGCTTTAAATATAATTGAACCCCCAGAATGAAAACATTGTTAAGAAAAGGATATTTCCTGCATAACAGAAAAACACATTTATGTTCCCTGATTTATTTTCTTTTTTTTGTGCAAAACTTTTCACATATTTACTAATTATGAGTAATTCAAAATGCAACTACAGATAAACAGGTCAATTTCCGACTACTAAGTGTAACTCATTAAATCAGCTATGGTTTCACAGCTATTGAGTCAATCAACCTGGAAATCCTTTCACTTTTACATTTTTACAGCAAATACAGTGATGTTTAAAATGATCCATGTTATTTGTAAATTAACATGTTTGTGATATACATTGGTGTATAGCATTGGTATATTTTGCTATGTGACGGTTTTCTAATGTAACAGTCTATTTTATTTGAAAATGTAAATTGTTAGATTCATAAATAATACTGAATGCAATAACAACACGACAATTAAAAAAAAATTACAGTAATTTTTCATTGTACGGTGGATAGCACAATGATCCAATTTTCATAATGTTTGCTTTCAGGCTATTTATATTTCATATTGTTGTCATATGTTTCAGAGATCTGCACTAACAGACTAGCAGAATTTAATTTATATAAAAATATAAAAATAAAAAACAAGAATAAAAAGACTTCCATGCATACATTTAATTGCCTGGCAAATACTCATATCAATGTGAAAAGCACATTTATTCACTTTTGTGTCTCTTGCTGTTATGGGGCACCGATATATAGTCACTAAAGCAATCAGTAAAAAAAAAATAATTCAAAACAGGGACATGTAGATGTAATTAATTCCAAATGATTTCTTGCTTCAAATTATTCTATAGCTAAATGTGGAAAAAAATAACCAAAAATATTTTATTAAAAATTAGCAATAAAATCCATTATCTTAATATTGCACATTTAAAAACACATTAATTTATTTTACTATTTATTTGTATTAATTTTAAAATTATTCTACTGTACTTATTTTCAAATATATCTTATACATAATTGGTAGATTATTGTATCTTTCTAGTTGCCACACCAGTGCAATATACATTTCAGTGTTTTTATGTCTCTTAAAGTAGTCGTCTGTGACATATTCCAGAACAACAGCAAAGAGTAATTATTAGAGGAACACACCACTCAAATATATGTTCCATCTTATCCAACCTTATCATGCACTAACATTAGACAAGCTGAAATATTGTATTTTTGAAGAGTGTGTTTTTCTAATAAATACTCCTGTCTTCCTTTGATACTGCACGTGTAGTCATCTCTGTTTGAATTCTATACCTTAATTGCAGGCAGGGCCTCTGTGTTCTCCTCTTCTTACCCACCCCCCCTCCCCCGTGTTCTCCTCTACTTAACCCCTCCATGTTCTCCTCTTCTTAACCCCCCCGTGTTCTCCTCCTCCTCTCCCCTCGCATTCTCCTCTTCTCCCTCCCACGTTCTCCTCTTCTCCCTTGTGTTCTCCTCTTCTCCCTTGTGTTCTCCTCTTCTCCCCCTGTGTTCTCCTCTTTCCCCCCGCATTCTCCTCTTCTCCCTCTGTGTTCTCCTCTTCTCCCCCTGCATTTTTCTCTTCTTCTCCCCCTGAGTTTTCCTCTTCTTCTCCCCCTGTGTTCTCCTCTTTTCTCCCCCCCGCGTTCTCTTCTTCTTCTCCCCCCCACATTCTCCTCTTCTTCTCCCCACCGCATTCTCCTCTTCTTCTCCCCTTCCGTGTTCTCCTCTTCTTCTCCCCTGTGTTCTCCTCTTCTTCTCCCCCCATGCATTCTCCTCTTCTTCTCCCCCCGTGTTCTCCTCTTCTTCTCCCCCATGTTCTCCTCTTCTTCTCCCCGTTGTCATGTTTTTTCTTTAACAAATGCCAAACAAAAAAATAAGAACCACTCACTTTTTATTTTGAGGCAGTTTCACCATGGCAAACTGATATGGCAGCAAAGCAGAGAGATAAACTGACAGTCCTTGAAAATAGAAGTTTAGGTGATGTGTCCAGGGTTAGTCCATAAGCAATGTCCTTTATCCAGTCCAAGTTTGTTCAATAGGAGATCAAGCAGTATTGAAGGAAATTCCAAAAGCAGAGTCAAGGACAGTCCGAAGTAGTTAACCAGGTAATCCAAGATATAGGGGTATGAAGAGGAGATTCAGAAGATTCAGAAGGGGTCCGGTGATGCAACACACAGACTCTCTAGGAGTGATCCAAATGATTATCAAGGAAGTTGATGCAGTTAGTCAGACTAACACATTAATTGTGCCCTGGAGTATTGGAGATTGGAGTTGAATAACCAAAGGGGTGTGTACTTCCATGCCATCTTAAAGGGCCAGTAATAAACAAATAAAATTCCTGACACCTGTGTTCTCCTCGTCTCCCCCCCAATGTTCTCCTCTTCTCCCTCCATGTCATCCTCTTCTCTCCCCGTGTTCTCCTCTTCTTCCCCCAATGTTCTCCTCTTCTCCCCGTGTTCTCCTCTTCTCCCCCCTGTTCTCCTCTTCTCCCCCATGTTCTCCTCTTCTTTCCCCCTGTGTTCTCCTCTTCTTCTCCCCCCGTGTTCTCCTCTTCTCCCCCCCTTCCCTGTGTGTAGCATGGGTGGCCTAGCTCCTTTCTGGTCCGCGGGACAAGAACTTCTGTTTCCTGTACCTGGCCGGATTGATAGGAAGTGCACACTGTAATGAATATGTTAGCATACAAAATTAGTGCATAAGACTCAAATACAGTGTAAATTACAGACTGATTTAATTAAAATGAAGTTGATTTAATGCAATCTCCTACTACAGCATTAGCATATGAAAGAGTACAAAATAGTGACCTGTGTAAGAACCCATAGGACTCTAGGGTCCTTCACAGATGTTCTCATACATTAACAGCAATATGTCACATATGCAGTTGCAAGAAAAAGTATGTGAACCCTTTGGAATGATATGGATTTCAGCACAAATTGGTCATAAAATGTGATCTGATCATCATCTAAGTCACAACAAAAGACAATCACAGTCTGCTTAAACTAATAACACACAAAGAATGAAATGTTGCAATGTTTTTATTGAACACACCATGTAAACATTCACAGTGCAGGTGGAAAAAGTATGTGAACCCTTGGATTTAATAACTGGTTGAACGTCCTTTGGCAGCAATAACGTCAATCAAACGTTTCCTGTAGTTGCAGATCAGACGTGCACAACGGTCAGGAGTAATTCTTAACCATTCCTCTTTACAGAACTGTTTCAGTTCAGCAATATTCTTGGGATGTCTGGTGTGAATTGCTTTCTTGAGATCATGCCACAGCATCTCAATCGGGTTGAGGTCAGGACTCTGACTGGGCCACTTCAGAAGGTGTATTTTCTTCTGTTTAAGCCATTCTGTTGTTTATTTACTTCTATGCTTTGGGTCATTGTCCTGTTGCAACATCCAACTTCTTTTGAGCTTCAGCTAGTAGACAGATGGCCTTAAGTTCTCCTGCAAAATGTCTTGATAAACTTAGGAATTCATTTTTCCTTCGATGATAGCAATCCGTCCAGGCCCTGACGCAGGAAAGCAGCCCCAAACCATGATGCCCCCACCACCATACTTCACAGTTGGGATGAGGTTTTGATGTTGGTGTGCTGTGCCTTTTTTTCGCCACACATAGTGTTGTGTGTTTCTTCCAAACAACTCAACATTGGTTTCATCTGTCCACAGAATATTTTGCCAGTACTGCTGTGGAACATCCAGGTGCTCTTGTGCAAACTGTAAACGTGCAGCAATGTTTTGTCTGGACAGCAGTGGCTTCCTCTGTGGTATCCTCCCATGAAATCCATTCTTGCTTAGTGTTTTACGTATTGTAGATTCGCTAACAGGGATGTTAGCATTTGCCAGTGACTTTTGTAAGTCTTTAGCTGACACTCTAAGATTCTTCTTCACCTCATTGAGCAGTCTGCTCTGTGCTCTTGCAGTCATCTTTACAACACGGCCATTCCTAGGGAGAGTAGCAGCAGTGCTGAACTTTCTCCATTTATAGACAATTTGTCTTACCGTGGACTGATGAACAGCAAGGCTTTTGGCTTTTGGAGATACTTTTATAACCCTTTCCAGCTTTATACAAGTCAACAATTCTTAATCGTACGTCTTCTCAGAGCTCTTTTGTGCAAAGCATCATTCACATCAGGCAATGCTTCTTGTGAAAAGCAAACCCAGAACTGGTGTGTGTTTTTTATAGGGCAGCTGTAACCAACACCTCCAATCTCATCTCATTGATTGGACTCCAGTTGGCTGACATCTCACTCCAATTAGCTCTTGGAGATGTCATTAGTCTAGGGGCTCACATACTTTTTCCACCTGCACTGTGAATGTTTACATGGTGTGTTCAATAAAAACATGGCAACATTTCATTCATGTGTTATTAGTTTAAGCAGACTGTGATTGTCTATTGTTGTGACTTAGATGATGATCAGATCACATTTTATGACCAATTTGTGCAGAAATCCATATCATTCCAAAGGGTTCACATACTTTTTCTTGCAATTGTACATCTTTTGATCATCATGCAAGAAGACACTTTTTGGCAATAGTGAGTTATGGCTATTGGGAAATGGAAAACTGCGGCAAGCAGAAGCTGTTTAAAACTCTGCATTTTGCCACATTTTTTTCAAAAATTAGATTATCCATAAAATATCCACAAATGTTTATCATATATTTTGATTACTTTGGGATTTCAGTGAAATTACAATGCAGTCTTAATTAATTTTTCAGTATAAAAAACCTATATTTATGAAAAATTAAAACATGACAGCGGCACTTAGGTTAAGTCATATTACAGAAACATGACAGTCTGGATGTAACTAGACATGAATTATTGATGCTTCCAAGTTTATATGACCATGCAGATGTGTCTCTAACAAGTGATAAGTAAGAACCATCTAGAACCAAGCACATAGTCAATGTCAGACATGCTAATAATCAAGAGAGGAAGCGCTATTTTATATGAAGGTATGACATCATGAGAATTGGGAAGGTTGAATATTCAATATCTTTAAATTGTGGCTTGTCATCTTTAAAATTTACAGATACAGATAAAAATAAAATATAAATTAAAATACAAATCAGAATTTTTAATACAAACAGATCTTTTGAAGCACAGAGAACTTGCAGGTCTTTATGCAATATAGATAGATAGATAGATAGATAGATAGATAGATAGATAGATAGATAGATAGATAGATAGATAGACAGGCAGACAGACAGCATTGATCGATAAAATAAAGTCAAAATAAACTGACATCACAGTTTTTATTTTGCCAAAATAAATAAAAAATCTTAAGCAAGCTATTTTCACATTTTAAAACATTTAAACTGTTTTTTAAAATTATGTAGCTTAAATAAAAGTATACATTGTGACTGCAATTATGTACATGAATCACATAAATTTCACCATTGCATTTTATGTTATAGGTATAAAATGTATTTATTTAAACATTAACATCTGTCATTTTAGATTTCTACTGTAGTTTGCAATGCAGAAAACAAATTGAAGATAACCTTTTAAGCCAATGTGTAATCTCTCAAGACAATAGATATTACATTTCTAATTTTAGTCTATATTATAAAATCTGCAATGTTTTTTATATGGAGCACAATATTATGATGAATGTTTTTTAATTAAACAATTCTTAATACACTGAATCATAAAAACAATGCTTTGAAAATGGTTTTCAATTAAGAAGAATATATTGGGCCAGTGCATTTCTTTATAAGATATGTGCAATATGTAAATTATTGAGTTCTTTTCATATACTAGTATCTCCTATCATTGCTGTAGTTAATTTAATAGAAAATAATTATATTCTTAAAAATTATCGCTGTTGCCACTATGAAAATGCATTCTTATAAACAGCAAATAGCTTGTCAAAGACAGAAAATTACTTGATAGAATTACAGCCATTTTTCTTCATCCTTCTATTAACCCATTAACAGCTAAGCATTTTACAAGCATAAAAGGTATAAGGAGTGTGAACTCAATATAGGAATATGGGAGACTGAAAAATCTAAGAAAAAAACTAAATAAAGAATAATGAATTACATGCACATATAGGGGAGGGCTGGACACTTGTGGGTCTACAAACAAATAGTCCATGGGCAAAGACCTCTAGAAGCAATATACATAATATATAGATAATAATCATAGGCTGGCTAACTTATTGTGGCTTTTGTATAAACACCACATAGCATCAGTCCAAGAACAAATGGAAAATTGAACATATTGGTGTGCTGTCAACTGACTCTGCTCAATTCAAGTACTTTAATCATATCCAGTCCCATTGTGTTTAATACGCATAAGTAGTGCCCAGCTGCCGCTCCATCTAGCCCTCTCATGCACACAAATACACACAAACACACAAAAAAAATATATCTGCCTATTCATCGATCTATATTAGTAGTGGTTCTAGTATTGCAGAAGTGATTATATTTATTTATTTATCTATTTATAAAATATTTTACCAGGGTGGATACATTGAGATTTCTCTCGTTTTCAAGTATGTCCTGGGATTATAGCACCCTAAGCCTTTTCGCAGTTCTGTGAGTGACTTAGAACCTCAATCCGTCAGACTTGTAATTGTTAATTTCAGTTTTGTGAGAGGTATTTGCACAATCAACAAGGGCTGATTTCTTCCTCCTCTTTGAGACACAGACTGCTCTTGCGCATGCCATGACTTTGCTTGTTGCTTGTTGACTACCCAGGGCTTTTTTTTCATGTATTATCTGTATAACACATTACAAATAGGGAACAATTGTTTACACCATAGCTTTGTTTAAATTATTTAATGTCATAATAACAGTGGTTACACTTGTTACTTTGACACAGGTTAGTAAAGCT